TTTCCCTTGTTTTGAGTAAAGCTAGGAGCCTGATCATTTTAATAGTAAAAATCATATCAAATATATTTATTTATTTAGGGGACTTCTATGCCGCCCCATTCGCCGAAGCCTCAGGGCTGCTCACAAACCTTAAATAACATATTTACATGTCAAATTCTTCCGAAGTGCCAAACAGGGTGTTTATCTTTTGCCATAGCTCTGAAGCTTATAATTTTTATTGAAACTGAGTAAGCCCAATTTGTTATACCTGACAATGACTTGATGCCTATTCAGTTATGTGACTTTGTGAGCCTGAGTTTAAATGTGGATGGCCGATGCTTTTATTTCATAGTGCCAGACCTGGGCCAGGGCACCCTGAGTGCAGGTCTCCATTCACAAGGGCCAGTCATTACTTCTCAAAGGCAGGGCCAGCAAAAGACATATTTCTCCCTTGGGGAAAAACACATTTTATCTATTTCCTAGAGGGTCTTTTTGATGAGCTGAACAGATCCACTCTGTGTTACAATCAACCCTTCCTTCCCTTGCTATTTTAGAAAAACTGCTGGGAGCAATTAGGTCAGAGAAGCATTATAGATGACTCAACAGAAAGCTGTCAGGCATTTCCCCTGGGCAAACTGGGCAAACCCCCTTCCAGAACTTCCCTGGTCCCTCAATCTAGGATCAGTCACTGGATTCAGCACACAGCACACCCAAGCTTTGGAAGCAAACAGTTTATTAAAGGAATAAAGTATAGGGTGGAGGGTTCTAAAACATACAGACTAAACAGGATAAAACAAGGTAAAATTGGGGAAGGGAGGGGAAAGGGAAGATTGGACAGCAGCAACTTTATAGTAAACAGCCAGCCAAGAAACCCCAGCTCCCAGGATTGTGCTGGCCCACTTGGAAAGAAAATAGGAAATATAAATCCTAGCCTCAACTATCCACACAGAAGTACTACCTTCTGTAGGCTCAGGATACGCAAGGTAACAGACATTTTTTACATGAAGCAAGAGCAGCAGACTGGAAACTCCCAAGAGGGGAACAAAGAGCCTTTCTCTGTCCAAGCATTATCCCCCCATCCAGTCTAGGTCAGCTGACGTGTGGGGGAATAGCCCATCTCCCAGTCCCTGGAGCCAGTCACTCATTCCATAGGGCATAGCTGTTATCTCTGGCATCCTTGAGGCCATAATTTTAGATCTTTTCACAAAGAGAGGAGACTGACTTCCAAGGCCTTGGGTGCCAAATTCCTGCTAGGCTGGCACCTGGATTTACAACATTTCCCCAGTTACAAATTTAACCCTTCCTTTGCTTTCTGGAGCCCACCAGCCATTTCATGTTACAAAGCATAACAGCACCCTTCTGAAGCTCAGCTTGCAAGTCAGGTAAGGGCTTAGCCGGGGATGCTTGGAAAAGAAAAAAACTTCTTATGTACAATGCCTAAGAGGTTCTGATTAGATTTACCAGCTGTTTGGTAATAATTCATCTACAAAATGTCATAATTGGGCACATGAATTAAAAAAAATCACAAGGTTCAGTTAAATGTTTTCATAGGTATATGAGTATAACTGACTATACATTAAATGTAGCTGTCCAAATATTTGGACCAGGAAGGGACTGTGGATATCCAAAAGTTAACAGCTATTATTGTTAAGCAGAGCTGAAATCAGGGACTGTATTTGTGTTTGAAATTGCAAAACAAGAAAAGCAAGATGCTAAGTACGTTCAAAATTAGTTTGTTGTTACTGTTTGGTAGGGATGTAAACATCTCAATTACATTATCTGGAAGAGAACAAATCAAGTTTGGTTATGATTGACAACTCACTGTTACTGGTTTTTAATTCATTCCAAAGAAGCTTCCATTGAAGAGGATGTGTTGTAGTTCCTGTCTCCTTGAACCTGCTGGAGGGTCCTGCTGGGGCACCATAGGAGTCACTTTCTCTCCTGGCATTTAATGTCTTCACTTTAACGATGGTATTTTGCTCATAGCACTTTGAAGCCTGTTGCATTTGGACCAGGTACAGCCAACTGAGAATGAAATGATTAGGGAAATAGGAAGAATAAGGAGAAGGGCATGGTGAAGCCTGCAAAACTGGAACCGCTGCAGCTGAACTGCTTATGTTGCTCTGGGATTCATCTCTTTGCTAGGGTCATGTGATATTTCATAGGGTACGAATGATGAGCAAAGTACCAAAACCAAAGTATCTGTACCATAAAGTAGTGTTGACAAGATTTCCCAGTTAGTAAGTGTCTAAAGCAGGTCACGGTGCTGAATTAATTTTGCTTGACTTTCCCAGAAGCATATCTGCACTTCTCTCCCTTTCGTTAACACAAGTTCACATTCCCATTGCACCTTTTACACCTGTACTGGATGAGTGGACTAATCTAATTTTCACCATGGACCAATAATCTTCTGAGTAGCAAATGACAAGACTAGCTGGTTGTGTATTGGCTAGATAGGTGGTTGGGAACATATTCTCCTGCAGCTTACAAACTGTAACCTGCTGGCCTATTTGTCAGATGTCTGTTTTGGGGCTTCCAGGTTAGACTATCATCAGAAACATTTTTAGTTCCATTTTACATAGGGAATATAGAAGCAGAGAGTACGATGTACCAAGAGTGCTTCACAAAAGCAGGAAATGGTGGAAGGCTTGGATTTGGAACTCCACAGGCCAAATTCAAAACACTACAGGAAGCATGCCTATCGCAAGCCTGGTGAGACTAGAAAAGAATTCTACAGATATGCAATACATTCACCAGGAGGAACACGGAAGGCCTATTGATGGCCACTATTCCACTTCCTGACCTGCTTGCTTTCTTGGAGGAAACTTGGGTACAAAGTAGGGTGAGGAACTTTTTTCAGCCCAAGGGCCAAATTCAATTTTAGAGAAGCTCTTCCAGTCATGTGTGTGTCAAATGCAAAAGAGGTAGGACTAAAACACCCTAACTGCAGCATATTTTAGTTTAAAGTTTTTACTTCCAGTAAGACCTCTAGGAGTCCTTTATTAACTCTAGGAGTCCTTTATTAACTCTAGAAGAGTTAATAAAGTTCTTCAATTAATAGTTCTTTATTAATTCTAGGAGAGGCATTTCAGCCTTTTGGAACAGGAAATAAAACTGTACAAAATCAGGGAAACCTATTTGATATACTTACCCTGTATGAATATCTCTAGAGAAAAGCCATAAATATCTCTAGGGAACTATGCAATACATTTGGTGATGTGTTTCTCAGTGGCCACATGGTTCCCTAGTGATACAGTATTCACAGCTTTTTGTTCTACAGCATCCAGATCCTAGACTTCAGTAGTGACTCCTCTCCCTCCAGCAGCACAATTAACCCTTGACTCTACAGCACCAAGTCCATCTCCATCATCATTGATTAATGTTAGGCTTAATGTTACAAGAATGTTCTAAATTGTTTTTAGAACTGTTTCTGTTGATTTTTCCTGAACTGCATACTTACACACTTTCATATAGATTATCTGTCTACCTTCAGTACCTGTAGTTACATTATTATTACAATGCTGTATTGTGTTTAAAATGTTTTACCAAATATGGAAGTGTTCCTTAAGTAGAAACATGGAAAGGTAAAATATATACATACACTAAGACAAACATTAGGGTTATTCATGTGATCTGATTTACATACAGATTCAACTTAAGGATGTTCTCAGGAATGGAACTTGTCCATAACCCAGGGCCTACCTGTATTTTACCATTATTCCCGTACTGTACTGCGCTGTCATATAGCAGCATATGGTTTTACTGCTATATGAAATGCAGTAAACCTGAAGTCCAAAATGTGCCACCTATGAGAAATGGTAACTGCTCAGAAGAGACAGAATGGGGGTGGAGGAGTAAAGAATGACATCAGTTTGCCACTGATCCTGTTTCACTGGATAATCAGAATTGAATCCTCATTTAAAATATGGAAACAACTGATTGACTATGAAGCAAAAAATTATATATAACTCAATAGACAGATATTTTAAAAACAGCCTCATCCCTCTACTGCAACCACTACTGCAGCCACTAGAGAGCTAAGCTGCTTCCAGACAAAGCTTTTATGGCACCGTCATACTTTTACCTGGGATCTCAGATACTGTCCTAGGGCTTTTCGGTGTTTAATCTGCTGTTTTATCAAAGAGTTTTCTTTCATTTTCTTGCTTCACAAGAGAGTATTTTTCTCCCTGGAGATTTTCTTCTCTGCTTTTGTCTATGATGCCATGGTAGAATTTACAAACTTTACACATACTCTCATGGCTGCATCCTGGAAAATACTGTATTAGCTTCAGTCCAAAAAAATCCATGAAAATACCTGTGAAACACAAGAGAGACCCTGGACAATGATGTTATGTAAGGAGCCCACAAATGTCTGTGAGGGAGGGATCACAAGTAAGAAGCTCATATTCCGATTGTAAGACAGATGTGCTTGGAGCTGGCCACCTACCCCTCTCTGGATCACCCTGCCCAGGATAGGGATCTGCCACTTGAATAATTAGTTACGCACGGTTCTTTGTAGAACTGCTACAAAAACAGCAAGAACCCCTAAAAAAAATTGGAGGTTAGGCCGATAGAAAGATCCTCTCAATCTACTCTACGGCTGAGAGCATTTGGGAAGGGCTGTTCTTCTCCTCTTGTTTAACCTCTCCCCCAAAACTTTCCTTCTTCACGCTGACTACAGCTGCCATTGCAGCACTTCTGGAGGGTGAAGATAAGCATCAGCATTGTTAGAAGTACTAAATGTAGGTGATGAAGAGAATGAATGGACATTAGCCCTTTATGAGTGCACAGTCTTGTATCTGGCCCATCTTTTTTTTTTTTTAAGACCATTTCAGATTAGAATACCTGATGATATTTTTCATCATGACTATACTTTGTATATTACATGGTATCTAAGAAAAGTATTCTGATCATTATCTCGCTGATCTTCATGGGAGAAACTTACTTTTTCATGCCACCTCACAAGCAGAAAAATTAGCTTTATTTCCTTTTCTTTCAGATCATCCACGCTGGACTTGAATGTTGCTCTTCGTGAATGCATGGCAGCTGTGGACTTATTTCTGAATAACAAATTTCAAGATGCCCTTGTTTCTCTACAAACAAAGTAAGCTGCTTGTACATTTCTTCTCCCAGTCATTCATAGTGTATTTACTTACAGAAACATGGAGGCAGGCAAAGGATGTTTGGGCCCTAAAAAAGGAATGCCTGGAGCATCAGCATGTGCTGGAGCATGAGAAGAGAAGGCTGAGGTGGCACCAGGTGCTATGTATCATGGCAGCCTCTCTCCAGAAATGCCCCCCAGATCAGTACATCCAAGGCTGCTCTTTGGACCTTGGGGTTGCAGCTGATGCAGTTCTTTCTGCCGGCTATGAACAAGTTTCCAAGGTCAGAGCTAAGACTCCAAAGTCTCCTACAGCCTTCCAGACAATGTTTGGTAGGTGTAGGATTGTGCCCTACATATCTTAAATCAGGTTCTTAAATATAACTACCATCTACCTGGATAATAAAATCAACCACTGGGGCCTGTCTCCAGCCGCCACCTCTGGGGTAGGCTTGGTTGGTGGCAATAAGGAGAAGGGCCTTTAGAGTGGTGACCCCCCAGTTGTGGCCCTGGCTCCTCACTGAGGCCTACCTGGAGCCAACCTTACTATCTTCAGTGTCAGCTCAAGACTTCCTTCTGCATAATTAGTTGGAACTTTGGTAGTGTTTAATCCAGGTTCAATCAGGTTTTCTCTTGTTTATGTTATTGGAATTTTATGTGTTTTAAATGTGGTTTAAAATTTTTGTATGGTAATTTTTTGCCTTTTTTTTTTGAAAATTGTGTACATTTTAGGTCATGTTTAATGGATTGATGTAAACTGCCCAGAAAGCTTCAGCTGTTGGGCAGTTTAGAAGTGAAAGAAAGAAAGAAACAAATTTTAAACAGCAAGCTGGCTTGTCCATGTATTAATGAAAGTAATTCATAAAGGTTCCTACACAGGTCTACATTTATTTAAACCAGGAGTACACAACATGTAGGAATGACATCTGAAAGACCAGAACTCCCATCAGCCCTAGGTTGCTTAGCTAGGGGCAAGGGATGATGGGAACTGTAGACCAAAATATTTTGAGGACCATAAGTAAGTCAGTAGATTAATCCCTGATTTAAGCCTGTGAAATTCTTTAAAAATATAACATGGGAGGGATTCAAAAGAGGTAAGAACCACATTTTGTATTGAAAAAGGACCACTTTGTTTTATAGTTTATCGCTTGATGGTTTAGATTATTGCCTGGATGTGGCCTTGTTGAACTGATTGATGTGTGTGAATTTATTTCACACTGCAGAGCCATCTTAACATGGGGAACCAGGCTCCTTTGCTTTCCGGTTTGGATTGTTTGCCCCAGAGAGTCACTGTTTAATTTATCCTCAGATGAGCACTGGTACTGCAAAATGCCTCTCTGTAGAATTTGTAGCAGAGCTGAGACAGGCGTATAGTAAGAATATTTCCTTTGAACAACATCTGTTCCTTGTCATTGGTTTCAGTGTCCTTAGGGTCTAAATGTGTTTTCATGGATTATAAATGCACCAACTAGCAGAAACACAAGTGAAAAATCAGCTTTATCCTACTGAAGCTTTAGCACTCCATTTTCAGTGTGTGATCCACTCCAAATTCTGTTCTTGCAAAGCCATAAAATAAATTGTGACACATTAGCTGTGTTTAGAAACTGTATAAGAAAAATACCAACCATGTGCTCAGGTTGGGTATTGCTATTTCTTTTGTGGTTAGTGGTGCAAATAGGAATAAATGCATGGGGAAGGAAATGAGCTGTGTCAGGAAATCCCCACAGAGCTATAAAGTAAGCCATTACTGTCATATAAAATTAGCATATTCATTAACCTTTTTTTTTTTTTGCAAATTTGTCCCTTATGTCAGGATGTTCCAGCCCCAGATTACTGCTTTCTCATCTTAATTATTTTTAAAATAATTACCATTAGGTTCCAATAACACATTCATTGTAAAGGTACAAAAATGTATGTGGCATTTATCCAAAAGGCAAGGAGTATATTGTGTGGGTGTAGAGGACCTGACAGAAGGAATGCTGAAAGCTCTAGCAACCTTGTTTCTTTGCAAGTTCTTGTTCTTGCAGGACTCCTGTGCTAATGATATTGACATCTAATGTGGAAGGAAGCAAGCTCTTACGACAGAACATAGGAATGTGTGTAAATGTGTTTACATTTTAATATGATCTTACCAAATTCACACATCTGGAAATTAAACACAAAACAGAATGCATTGGAATTTCCAGATAAATGCAGTTCACAAAAAAGTGCGCTTACCTTAAGGAATAAAACAAACATGCTTTATTCTTTAGGGTATTACTTTAGAAATATGTATCTTTGCAGAAGAACACACAAAATGAATAGTTTTTTCAAATAGTGTACAAAAATACATATTTGTTTTTGTGGGGATGGTTTTAAAAAATCACAGTTCCATCTAGAATTTTCTCACACTTTGTACAGTCCAATTCAGTAATGTCATAGAATGAACTAACAAGTGGAAAAAATGGAAACAAGCAAATCTGAGCTTGCCAGATGACGCAGACCTTATAGAATTGGAAACTAATAGTTGCATCCTTCTGAAAAGCTTGAAATTATGTTTTGCTTCAAGTATCAGTGAGGAAGGGGAATGTAGAAATCAGGCTTCAGAAAAATAGGTAAATATTATCAACAGTATGACAGGAAAATTGCTGCCAATAATTGAGCTGTGTTCTTGAATGTATTAAAAAGAATTGATGGTACTAAAGAATGAGGAATAGTTTTTTCCCATGCTTTGTTATGGGATAAGAAGTATATTAATTGTATACTTGTGTGTGTATGAACTATCTTTTCAGGAAATGTTTGTGTTTGAATCATACACACACACACACACACACACACACATGCTATTGGCATAGTAATTGTAAGTGCTGAGGAATTGTGCAAAGTAATAAATTGTGGTTTTTAAAAAAGGGAGAATGGAAAGAGAGTCATTTTGGCTAATGTAATAAATAAATAAATAAATTCATGGTTTTCCTCAAGTTCTTTCTACCAGAAATGGCTTATACCTGTTATGTTTCAGCCTGTCATCTGTCTGAATGGGCCACATAGATCCTGAAAGAACAAAAATTACTCCACATTTGAACATTAGCTTCCCCTGGCCACTTCTGTAAGCTTAGCTTCTGTTCCACTGTGCATGTTGGCTGCTTGTCTGTAGAGATACAAAAGAGACATAAAACTTGTATACACATAACAGCAGCAAATCTTGGGTTAATAACCCAAGATTTTCTGTCTTGTATCATGTATGAAAGGCACATGCTACAGCTGTTTTAAATATCCAACTTTCAGACAGTCCAAGTGTAGCTTGAATTGTGATGTGTAAACCTATGGTTTAGTTGTAGGTTAGACAACCCAACATTAACCCACAATTTGCTGTTAGTAAAGAAAAGGCGAATAAGAACTTGAAGACAGAGACAGCTTTGCATATTCCTATTAAACATAGCCTTGTCTAGCTTCTTTTCTCTTCATCTTCAACTTTGGGTTGTTTAACCTATAGTAACCAGGTTTGCATGTCATAAAACAACCTTTGAACAAGCTGATTGGAGGTTATATATTTAAAAAAGCAGCAGCTGCAATTCTTGGGTTAATTAATCCACAATTTGCCAACATTAGATAAAAATGGGTGGCAGTTACAGTGGACCACTCTTGTGTCAGTTAAACAATACTGATCTGTGATTTTTGAGAAATAGTGCAGGTGGGCTTCCTTCCCACATACACCCCTGAAAGGCTGCAATATATCTACAAGCTGTGCCCGCTCAACCCTAAAGGCACATAGTCTTGGGGGTGGGTGGCAATAAGCCCCTCCTCTGGGGAGCAGAGGATTCCTTGCAAACTCCTTCCTCTGTGCCGTATTTCTTCTTCATCCATTTCTTTCATTTTACTGGCCTTCTCCCCCCTCCCCCTGGTGTAAGAATGCCACTTTGCTTCGGAAGCTTCAGCACTGCTGTGTACTTGACTATACCAACTTGGAATGGAGTAAGATTAGGAACAATCCACTTAGAGAGCAGAATGTGAGGACAGGATGATTTGCAAATGCTGATGGGACGCATGAAATCCTGTCTCTTCTGCAGAGAGGACATATACAATGTCTACTGATTGAGTAACAAGCCACTCAAAGGAATACAGACAGTTCCTTCCAACTCATGGATGGAAGGTAGAGCCCATTTCAAGACCTTTGAAGCCCAGATAGCATAGATTAAATGAAAGATTTGGTTATTAGATTGTTGGCTCTTGACTGCATTGTTCCTACATGAACTGAAACAGTACTATTAGGGATACTGACCTGACTGCCAACCCTGTCTGAAAACACAACATTATTAGACTTTGGCGAGAGACCAAGATGTCTGTTTGATATCTTATCTTGTATTGATAAATGGAATGGAACTACATGTCTGTGGTGTTTCTCTGTGGGAACCAAGAAAGTATAACTGTTTCATTACCTTTTGTACTTAGATATTTCCTATCATATTCAATGCCAAGTAAACGTATACAATATTAGAGTAAAACCTGAATACAGCTGATGGGGGGGGGGGGATAAAAAGAGAAGTTTATATCTTCCCTCAAAGCCAAGGTCACTGTAAACTATAGAAACACTTCCAGAGGTGATATGGATACTGGCTCTTTCACAAGCTAGATTTATTTTTACTCTGCACTAAGTAACAGACCAAGTCTCAGCCTTTGTTTGATCCTTGACAGAAGTTTGCAGCCCTGATCCATTAAGCACTTGTACCTGCTGGCATCCTGATAGGCTAGCCGTGCGTTTCATTTCATGGCATCATAAATGTGCTATGGGAATGCTGTTGATACCTGTTGAAGAGGGAATACCTTAAGGGATTGCTGTTATTATCTGCAATTTAACTTACAAGGAAGAGCGCTTTGTGAGTTGCAGCAGCCCATCTCTTCTCCCCCAGTGCTGAGAGCTTGCCACTTTCTGTGCTTTATCCAATATGATTAAATGTCTGAAATAATAGGTCTTTTTTCCTTTAGAGATTGCCATTTAATTAATGCCTTATACCTTACCATCTGTGTTAAAATGATGTCTTGAAGAAAGCAAGGCCTCTAATCTGGGGAGCAGTTGCTTGGCTGGTAGAGAGAGCAACAAGAGAGAAATAAAACAAGTCTGTTGTGTCTTATGGTGATACACAATCACAGCTTTCACCAATGTGGTGCTGTCCAGACACTTTAGACATCAGTCCCAGCACGATGGGAGGTGACCAGGAGGCCACAAGGTTGGGAAAGGCGGCATCAATGTATATATTACAAAACTTTAAAAAAATCATTTAAGGAGACAGTGGGTTGCATCCAGATTCAACACTGGAAGGACAATCCTGGCAGAACAGCAAACAGCAGCACTGCTTGTTACCTGAGGACCCCACACACAATCTAAGCCCACTAAGGAGCTCTTGCAAGTGCCCAGAGGGTACTCTAGGGAGCTGTAAGGAGGAGGAGAGGATGTGGAATGTGAACAGAGAGAAAGAGTGGATAGTAGTCACAAGAAGTATAAAGAATAGGAGCATTCAAGATTTAGAAGAAAAAATCTAGAGAGGACTTTATTTTATCAGAGTGTGCAAATCTTTTATGTCTCTATCTCTCCTCTGGTGGTATTCCAGGCCCATAGGCTTTGTCCCATTCTTCTCTCACTCTCTGTCCCTCTCCCTCTCCCTCTCCCACACACACAGGGTGGTGCAAATATCTGGGTGACCATAGTTGATGCTGCAATCCGTGCAAGTGAGTTGCTACTTTTAAAAGGGGGTGATGAAGGAGCACAGTAGCTGAGCAGACCCTGCCAGACATCCCTGAAGATTGTCCATGTGAGCCCCCATTACCTGAAACCTGCAAGATATACGGGGCGGGAGGGGAGAAAGCAATCCAGATGAGAGAGGGAAGCAGAGGAAGGGGCAGATGGCAGAGGGTGAATATGCTGTAAGCATTGCAAACTAGAACCAACAGAAATACCACCAGGAAATCCTTCAGAGCAGACGCAGTCTTAGTAAAAACTTAAACCCTGTTTCCTTGGTACTTCTATGGCAAGCTCACATTATAGGAGTGGATGTTAATACTGGAGATTCCACTTCTAGTGCCAAGTCTGTAATAAACTGGTGTGTGGCAAGACGGGAAGACACAGCTGCTTTGTTTGCAAGCATGCAGTGAAGAAGAGCATGAAGCCAAAGCTTTCTATGCCTGTTTCCAGCAATGTGCTACCTGTGAAAGGGACACTCCCTCTGACCTCTTTTTTAGATGTCTCCCTGTTAGCTGTGAATGTTGTGCGAGGGCTCCAGTAAACCTGTGCTGCCACTTCTGTACAATTCGGAGGATCCACTGGCTAAGCCCTCATAATACCTGACTGGGTTTGCACAACACACAGACACACATGAACAAGAAGGCCATGGTAGGACCTGCAGAGCCACCTCAGGAGGCATGGCTTGCTGTAGAAGCTCCCTGTGGAGCATGCTGTGCTGCCTCAGCTTGGGTGACATGGCCCATGAGCCACAACACCCAGAAGGGAGGGGTGTAGCAAGAGCAGCACCAGCCCCTGCCTGCTCCGGCTAAGTGGCTCCTCCTGCCCCACAGGAGCTGGTGGGAGCTGCCTGGAAGGCGGCCAGGTGGCCCTTGCCAGTAGCTGACACTGGTGTCCCAACTTCTGCATGCCTTCTCCCCAGGTTCCATTCAGGGCTTGGGGGGGGGCATGGCAGACATTGGCTCCCCCCCACCTTAGTTTGGTGCAGTCCCGCTGGGCACACACAAGCCAAGTGGGGAGGCATGGGCAGGGGTGGTGCTTCCTCTGGGGAGTCACGGCCAAGTGTGCCCCATCACCAGCAGCTATGGGTGGGGTGGGGTGGGGTGGGCCACCATGGGGATCCTCTCCCCTTCCCACCAGCAGCCACAACAGTGCTTGTGGCTGGGGTGGGTCTGAGGATTTGGCTGGGCTTCTTCCTGTGGACACCCAGGTGAAGACACCCTCCCCCCCCACCCGGTTGCACTTGCTCCTTGATTGCAGCTACAGGCAATGGCGAGGGGGCACATCCCCTGGGGCTCCCTGGGAAGAGGCTGGGCTGAAGCTGCCACCCGCACTTCTAGCTCTGCCCGGGTACCACGGCAGGAGAGTGTGAGGCACAAGCCAGAGCGGGGCCTTTGTGTCACCGCTTTGTGTTGCAGTGACAAACGGAAACATCTGTATCCCAAAAGTAGTGGTCTCATAATGAAAGGATTTTAAATTTACAGATTTGAATGAATGGTATTATTTGGTATGGAAAATTTGGTATGGAATTTGGTATTCCATAGGGATACTGGAAAAATGCCATACAAATTACAGATGATGAGAAGCCGATGAAAGTTTGATTCTTTTGCGATTGCTTGGCTACCATTCATTGAATATACTAATGTAACTGAATATGGGGGGGACAATATCAGCAAACTGTAGACTGTTAAGATTGTCACAACAGGCTCTGTATAACCCACCTGCATCCGGAGGGACTTGATTTTAGGTAACTCAGTCTAGGGATGGAAGGGGAAAAGGTTACCAATAAGGTTAACTGTACTCATATGTTTCCAAATGTTTGTTTGCTTTGTTTCTTTCTTTGGCTTTCAGAGAAGGAAACTTACCAAAGCAAAAAAGAAAAGAAACACCAGCACCCTTCTCCACTTGGTGGAAGGTGGAGGTTTCTGTTTCTCCCTGAGCCAAGGGCAAGCACAGGGCCAAGCAAAAGGAGAGGCTAGCCCATGCTGGGCTTGGAAGGTGGCTTGGGCATCCTGTATCCCGCATCCTGCTCTGTCCTGTACCCCGCTTGGCTCTGGGGGAGTAGGATTATGCGAGAGCAGCCCTGCCATCTTAACATCTGCAAGAGCTCTGGGTTGGGGAACAAATGGGTGCTTCTGAAAGTGCTTGGCAGCCGTCATCCCTGCTCAACTCAGCGCTTCTGTTGTGCCCCATGGGATGCCAGTAGGGAGACTGAGAGGAGGAGGAGGAAGGGGGCGAGGAGGACCACAGCCCCACTATACCAGTGCTTTGGCAGGCACAGTATTTGAGGAAAATGCTGAGGCGGGCTAGCATCTCATGCAAACCTGTTCCTGTGGCTTAAACAATCCATCATCGTTTGTTTCAGCTGCAGCACATGTTGGCATGTACTGGACACCATTTGCCTAATTACCCACCTGAGCCCAGATAATTAGGCATATGGATCTGTGTTTCTGAGGGGTTTTTCCTCCTCCAAAAGATATCCCCAGGCTTTCTGATCTCCCCTTATTGCCCATCCAAGCACAGTTTGTCATGTTGTCTGAACATAGGCAGCATGGCTTCTTGGACAGGGACACACTGCTTAAATGACCCATGGCAATTTGCCTAATGCATGCGGTCAGGTGGGTAATTGGGTGAATGGCACTTGGTTAAACCACAGTGATCCAGTCAACAGGCCAGAGTGTCCTCCCCTCCCCTGCATCTGGCCCAGCCACCCCCAGTCTGGAGGCTTTCAGATATTTTGGACTAGAACCCCCAGCATTCTGACCATAGGTCATTCTGGCTGGGGCTAATGAATGTCAGGTCAAAGCAGCTTGAGAGCCCCATGATGGAGAAGTCTAGTCCAGATCTACTGATGGAGTTGTGGCTGCTATAAAGTAGCTCGGCATGGATTTCTGGCCCCTCATCACTTAACAAGAGCTGTAACAACAAAGTTGCCCTAAATGATACTGCTAAAATGAGAGCGCCTGGTGTAAACCAGAGTGTTTTTTTCTGTGTGGAATTTCTGGGAGCTACATTAAGTTCATTCAAAATTCCTCAGCTCTGCAAGTTTTAATTCTTTTGGCACCAGGTTCTGGGGGTCAAAAGAATTAAAACTTGCAGAGCTGAGGAAAAAAGGCAGGTTCCGCAGGCCTGAAGTACCATCCTAAGCAGATGGTTCTGTGACGGACGAAGTTTGATTCCTTAAAATAAGGGCATTTCCCTCTCTCAGATACTGCTGTTTCTAACACCATCACTTCAGTTTCTCTTCCAGTTTTAAGGCCATGTTTGCTTGTTTGCTGGTTTTCCTTCCTTTGTTTGGCTTCTTGTATCTTCTGTACGCAGAAGCACAGCTTGTACACAGCTTGTCTTATAGATGTATCTCTCTCCCACCTGTTTCCTACAGAACAAAGGACAGTATGTATCATGCACTGACTTACGCCACCATATTGGAAATGCAAGCCATGATGACCTTTGACTCTCAGGACATTCTGAATGCTGGGAACACAATGAAAGAGGCTCAAGCTGTGTGTCAGAAGTAAGCACAGAAGACTATCCTTGGCAACTGATGTTACTGCATAGGGGAGCATATGCATTGCAGGAAGAACTAGATATTTAGCTGCTTTTTTAAGAAGCAAATTTTATTTTATTATGGACTGTTGGATTCCAGTTGGATTCCACCATGTGGAAATACACTCATAGCCATTCAGCTTTCTACATTTTCTAGATTAAAATCTAGAAGTATAATTTTATAAACAACACACCCATATGTCACCACATTTGAATTAATGCCTCATGCAGCAGCATCGTTCTTTGTTGACATGAACACAAAATAATGCTGGAGCACTAAGCACATTATGAATCAATAGACCATTTCTAAATGATCAATTTTTGTGTCAGAAAATAATTTGTAAAGCAACCACACATGCATGACATTGGATCCTGACGTGCTATTCTGTGGAAGTGAGTTGGAAGCAATGGGTGCACTTACTCTACTATCCAGATAGTCCTGTTGGCCAAACGCCTCAGAGAAGCAATGTTCACCCTTTCTCCCTGTTGCCCTCAGCATCACTCTCCAAAACCTCCAGAGCAAATTTTCAGGGGCATAGAGGACTACATGGGTAAGGAAGTATCAACAAAATTCACCTTTGCTTCCAGTTATGTGAGTGTCCAATTTGTGGAATCTGTGCTCTGTGCAATCCTGCATCCAACCCATTGAAATCTGACTCTTGATATTACCATTTTAGCATCCATTTGTTCATTGGCATTTGTTCACTCATAGAAATATTTGGTGATTCAAGTCAATTGGAATGAAAAAGAGAAACATAATTGAAAAGAGTTTTTTAGAATATTACATTATTAAACCAATTTTGGGAGATTACTATTGACAGTTCTAGTTAGGGCTGTTGGAACTTGTAGGCAAAACATTTGGAGGTCCACAAGTTCTCCAGCCCTGCTATAGTGGTGAGGTCTCAAGAGTTAAGTCAAATTGTTCAAGGGAAAAACAAAGGTAGCATCTGAAATAGATGTTGTGGAATACAGGCAGTCCCAGGGTTACAGACAAGTTCTATTCCTGAGAAAACAGAAATTAACCTTGTATGTAAGTCAGATCATGTATAGTTGGCCCTCCACATTCACTGGGGTTAGAAACACAGGACCCTCATGAAAGTGGAAAAACTGCAAATATGTCTAGGTTCCCCTCCCATCAAAAATCACCAGTGCCTCCTCTTTGCAGCAAGGAAATGCCAGAGAGATTTCCCTCTCCAGATGGGAAGGGCAGGAAGGCATACTTTGGAGGTTTCCCTCTCTATCTTTTCATTCTCTCTCTCTCTCTCTCTCTCTCTCTCTCTATGGTCATGCTTTAGAGGCCCTCCCTCTCTCCCCTTTTGCTTCTTCTCTCTCTAAGGTAATAAAGAATTTCCACAGTAATTTTAAAAAATAGGCTTTATGGCAGTTCATTTCTAAGTACAGGTTGTTCCTAACTCAGATGTTCTTAACCTGGGGACTGCCTGTACATAGTGATTGGATTTCTGAATGAATAGCTTAGCTGTGTAATATTGCAGGTGTGTTCCAAATTGCCAGTCTCTGTACTTTTTCTTTAGGTTCCGGAAAAAATCCACTGTAGCAGATTCTTTCAACAACTTAGTGCACAGACACAACCTTGAGCAATTAACTGAAGGTAAATAAATAAATAAAGCATTGTCTCATGTTGCTTCAGTTCACATCACTAGCAAGTACAATGCCCCAGGCTTCTGAGATTCAGTATTGGGTATATTTGGGATTAAGGGGTACTGGGTTTATCGAGAGACAGTGTGGTGTATGACAGCTAGTATGGCTAAGACTTGGAAGATTTGGGTTCTGATCCCCACTCAGCCACTAAGGTCACTTTGGGACAGCTATTGGTGCTCAGTCTAAGCTACCTCACAGGGTTGCTGTGAAAATAAAAAAAGAGGAGGAAAACTTTGTACACCACCTCGGGTTCCTTGCCAGTAGAAGAAATGTGGACTAGAAAATTAATACAATAATAACAATATTGGTTGAACATTTTCACATTCTCTGTGAGATGCCTACGGATACAGGTGGCATGGCTTAGCTGTGAGGCATGGATCCTTGCTGCAGTCCAGCTTTCAACATGGATTCTGGCTCTGAGGGTGAAGCTGTACAGTCAGGCCCAGCTGTGGCGAACCCAGTCAGTGGACAGTTTTCTCTGCCAGGATCAAATGTCCAGTACGTACGCTTAGCAGCTAGCCTGCTGTATTTGTGTAGCTTCCAGGATCCTTGTAGGAGACCACATGCCAAAAACCTTCCTGCCTTCTTTGGAAATAGGATCTTCATGGGAAGCTGCCCTTTGTGAGTTTACATTCTGCTCAGGAACTCCCAGACTGGACTTCTTGCCTGAAACTCAGTTTCTGTTGAACTGTTGAATGTTATTGCCTCTGTGAAAGCAAATAGAATTGTTACAATAAAAGGTTTTATTGGCACTCTTGCCTTGACTTTGGGAAACTGGGTAGGAACATTACAGGAATTTGAATTTTGTTACTTAAGTTGTCATTACATCAAGTGAAAGCTCAGGGTCCCTGATGGAAAGTCAATGTAGATGCAATAAAATGGTATTTGGTGATATACTCTAGGTATATATATATTTATGAAGTCTGCTCAAATATAAGCCCCACTGAATTTAAAGGGGTTTACTCTCAGGACACTGGCAAAGGTTTTGCAGTCTTAGTATGCAAAGGACATTTAGTTTTCAAGAAGATGAGGGAGGAAGCACATTTCTATCACTTTGACAGGGTGAACTGTTCCAAACATCACACTGAAGCAGGAGTGCAGATCAATAGCCTTGCCCGCTGATCTGGTGACAGCAACATACATTTTGTTTCGTTGTTGTGTTGTGTATTGTTTGTCTCAGGGTGAAAAATTGTTCAAAACAGCCAAACAATTAAAGGATTTGTACTGTAGCAGCAGGAGTAAAATCAATGAAGACAATGTTTTACAAGTCTTCTGTAAATGCAAAAAAAATTGCTGAAAAGGTGTAAAGAGCTAGGTTGTGCATAAGAGCAACATGTCAGTTAAGCAAGCCATGGGCTGTTGTGCAAAACTGGGAAAAAGTGAGTGCACACTGCCTGCCACTTCCAGTTTGACTCCGCAATCCATGCTCAGATTGTTCATAGGCTGTGGAAGTATGATGTCTCAACCTGGATTGATAGATTGTTTAGAGGCTAATTACAGTAAACTAATGTTTAATCCATGGCCTGTTGCTAGGTTGTTTAACCCCTAGATAACCCATTGATGCAGGCTCTAATGTCACACACCACAGCCTACAAAGGAGGTATAAAAGTGGAAGTAATGTGCATGCTGCAGGCAACACATCTGCTTGCTTCCATTTGACTCGACAGCCAGTAGTTTATTTAATCACTAGGTTTAACCTTTTTACAGTTATATGTGACCAAGGCCAAAGAGTGGGCACCAGGCAAGCCATCTACTCCCCAGAGTTGCGGGGACATGGAGAATGGCCTCAGTGGATAATTTAACATGTGGGTTTTTGAGACATGCTTGTTTTACAGGTGGGAGACAATACTGGCAATATATTGATATCATTCCATTTATTAGTGGATGTTTTTTCCTGTCCACTTGATCATTTCCCTTTACTTTTCTAGAGGAAATTCATGCAGAAATTTGTTATGCTGAGTGCTTGCTTCAGAGAGCTGCTCTTACATTCCTCCAGGTAAGAACTTTGTTTCTGGAACACTATTGTAAATGCAGTGCTGGAAATGTGACAGCACAATAAATTTCAGTAAGGCCTTGGAAGATGTCTGGCTGATCCAGGACAGCCTTCCCTAACCTTGTGTATTCCTGATGCATTGAGTTACAACTGCTTCATCTCTAACCAGCATGGCTTGGCCATGTTGACTGGAGATGGTGAGAGTTTTAGACAAACACCTCTGGAGGGCACCTGGCTTGGGGAAAGATGATCTAATGAATGGATTTTATTATTACTAGCAAACAGTATTTGGAATGACAAAACAATGAAAAGTATAGGCTTATTTGCTGACAATACCTTGATAACAATAAGGAATCCATTAGAAGAATGGAAGAATTTGAAGAGATAGCGGGTTTAAGAATAAATTAAGATAAAGCAGAGATAATGTTATTTAAGAGTGATAAGGAAGAGAAAGGAAAAATAGGAGTAAATTGAAAGTTAAGATACCTAGAGTTATTAAATATTTAGGTATTAATATTGCTAGGGATGCAGTGGCACAGTGGTTTAAACTGCTGTGCTGCTGGGCTGGTTGATCAAAAGGTTGCTTGTTCGAATCTGCACAACGAGGTAAGTTCCCATTGCTCCATCCCAGCTCCTGCCAACCTTGCAGTTCGAAAGCATACAAATACAAGTAGATAAAAAGGTACCAGTTGGGTGTTTAGTCATGCTGGCCACATGACCACAGAAACTGTCTGCAGACAAATGGAGATGAGCACTTCCCCACTAGAGTGAGATATGACTAGACTTTAATTTCAAGGGGAAACCTTTAACCTTTTAACCTTTAATTGCTAAAAAGTATAATGTTTACAAAAATAACTTCAATAAGTGAGGCATGTGCTGGCTATTATACTACAATCCATTATGGCTAAAATTAGATTTTATTCAACTAGAAGGATCCTTGATAGATTTTTAAAATAATATGATAATAAAAATATTGTAAAAACATGGAAATCCTTTCCTTAACAATACATTGCAAATATAGAATAAGTATAAGGAAAAAATATGTCATCAATCTCACCATTATTTTCAGTAACTGAATTGGAAGGGTTCCCATTAAATTTGAGAGAGAATTTAGGCAAAATATTAAAGAATAGACATATAAATAGATTAAAATGAATAAAAATGGGAAAATAAAAGTAATATTAGGAAAGAAGAAAAGAACTTGGTATAATGTAATTCTATTAGAATGTTGGGCTAGAGAATGGATAAGAAAAGGGGTAGATGCAGGGATCATAGAAATTTGAAGATATATTTATAGACAAGGAAAAACAAGAAGATATGCTGATGAAATGGATAGTAAATAAAATATATAAGATATTATTGGGAGTACAGGATCAGTATGATTCATTTAGAGAAACATAAGAAATAGATTTGAAGAACATCAGAAATGAAGATTGGGAAAATATTTGGAAGAAAAGGTTCTTAAAATATATGTCAGTAAGAATAAGGGAACATTTTTATAAAATTATATGAAAGTGGTACCTAATTCTGCTGAAGTTGAATTGTATAGATAACAAATATTCTAACTTACACTGGAGATGTGGTCGCGAAGTGGGCACATATTTCCATATATGGTAGGAATGTGAATATATAATGACGTTTTGGAAAGAGCTTTTTAAGGCCGGGCTCTGTCTTACTCCCCATGCTCTTTACCATCTACATGAAACTTTTGGGAGAGGTCATTAGAAGGTGTGGGCTGAGATGTTATCAGTACACTGATGACACTCCGCTCTACCTTTCTTTTTCATGCAATGCAGGTGAGACAGTGAATGTTCTGAATTGGAGTTTGGCCTTGATAATGGATTGGGTGAGGGCTAATAAACCAAAACTTGATCCAGACAAGATGGAGATACTGTTGGTAGGGGGATCGTCTGTTCAGATGGATGACATCCCGCCTGTCCTGGACAGGGTTGCACTCCCCCTAAAGGACAGAGTTTGTAGCTTGGGGGTGCTCCTGGACCCTGAATTAGCTCTGGAATTCCAGATGGATTAAGTGGACTGTAAAAAATAATATTTATTTATTTATTTAGGGTTTTTTATCCTGTCCAATTATGACATGTCTCTGGATGACTTCCTTTAAAAAAAAGGAATGGATTTTATTTATTTGAGAAAGAAAGCTGTATGAAACTGTGTTGTGGTGGACCAGTACAATTGGTTGCCCACCAACCTTTCCAGACCATTTGAGGTGTTCGCAGCTGCATATGGGTTGTAGAGGAAATCTGTTCCACTAGCAGTCATCTTCTGTTGGTGGAATAATGCACTTGGATAGAACTCGCTAAGTGATATATTCAGTTTGGCTGTCTTTCACAGCTCTGACATAATGGTCCTGGGACCGGCATCTCCCTGCTTTTTCCATAGCTTCCTTTGGTTACTTTTAAGAAGGCTGTAACATATTAGCAATCAATAAAAGGCAGAGATTTATGGCAGAGTCTAATTCTTTCTGAGGAAGTGGAGACACAGTTCCAGGAGCTCTTGTCAGGGTTAGGGTGGTTAGGTGTGGCAAGTGCCCAATCATGGACAACTTTGATGCTGGCCCTGAGTCCTGATAGAAAGGCTTTCTCAGGCCATAGTGATGGAACACAAGTGTGTGTGTGCTTTTCTTTTGTCAGTAAGTCACAGCTGTTTGTAGCAAAGAGAATACTTCTTGGTAAATTTCAGCAATGAAGGATAATCTAACTTGCTGTGTGTGGTATTCACACACAGCTAACTAGGAAAGCAGAGATGTGATGAGAAAAAGAACACAGGAAGAGTGGTGCTGGAAAAAACCAGGAGTCTGTCTAAGTCACCACCTGTTCGCACAATGGCCAACCAGCTGCTCACAGGAAACCCACAAGCAGGACAGAGTGCAACAGTGTTCTTCTATCCAAATTCCCCATTAGCACTGATACCAGAGATAGCATATATCCAACAATGCTAGTAGCCATTGGTAACCTTATCCTCCATGAACCCTAACCCTAACCCTAACCCTAATCTCTTTTAAAACTATCCAGATTGCTGGCCCTCGCTACCTCTTGAGCTAATGAATGTCATAGTTTAACTAAGTGAAATACTTCCTTTTATCTGTCCAGAGTCTTTCCCCATTCAGTTTCCTGGAATGGCTTGTCTGGGTTCTACTGTTATGGGAGAGGAGAAAATCTTTCTTCATCTACTTATTCCACACCATGCACAATTTTGTATACTTCTGACATATCTTTCCTTGCCTCTTTTCTGTGCTAAATAATCCCAGATATTGTAACCTTTCCCGGTTGGGGAGTTGCCTGGGTGACACCACTTGGAATTAAATCCAATCAGTGTAGATTTAATCCAGTATTAGAACACTATCTTGCCTGGAGGCTCCCTGAGTTCATTTTCCATTTCAATACTTTTCATCTTGAATGTTTTGGTCTGGGGGACATCGCATGTTCCTACTATTAAATTAGTTTTGGAGTCTGCTGTTCTGTGGAAGAGCTTGGCCCTTTTAGGCTTTCTGGTCTACTCAACACAATGCTGCCTTGATATACAGACCAAGCCTTCTCCACAGTGCTCTTCCTACAGATTTTTTCATCCATAAATGAGTATATGCTACAGTCCTCTCAGTTCTACCTGATTGACATAATGCCCACTATTTCTAACTATATCTAATTTACCATTTAAAACCAGGCACTCCAACTCCGCCATCTTGGTGCTGAAGCTTCTAGTGTTTGCATAGAAACATCTGTACATGGCGTCCTTCCCAGATGTCTTTGGCTTACACATCATCTGATTTGGCACTTAGGCCTTTTTGACTGGCTATCATATTTTATCATACGCTCATGACCTATTTCCTTCCTTTCTGCTTTTGGGCAATCAGAAATACTTCCATGTATATCTCCTGGGAATGGTTCCCAGCTTTCCCTTATGGTTCAGCTTAAAAGTTGCTCTGCCACCATTTTTATGTTTCATGTCAGTGCCTGGTTCCATTTCAGTTCAAGTTATGTATAAGAAAAGGACAGTTGTAGCAATTTACCAACCTCATTTTTTTCTAGTTGTTTCACATGGAGTTGTTACTCCTCTAAAGTAAGAGGATTTTCATCTATTCACAAACTGAAATGCACAATCAATTGTATTTTCCTTAGGATGAAAACATGATTAGCTTTGTCAAAGGCAGCATCAAAATCAGAACCAGTTATCAAACATACAGGTATTAATTTATTTATTTGTTATTGCTTGGAATATCTTCTTGCAGTGGAAAACAATTTTGTTTCAGATGTTTCTCAATGTTTATCATTCTTGCATATTATCTATGGTGTCTCTGCTTTTCATGTTTTACGTTGGCCTAGTTACTTTGGACTGATTTTTAAATTTATTTCTGTTGTCTAATGTATTCGTAAATATATATGAATTTATAATATTTTGTAAATTTATATAAACATTTATTATAATATCTAATTTATATTATGTTTCATATATCTATCCATAATTCATATAATGATTATATAATTTATATAATGATTCATATCCTGCCTTTTACAATAATATCCTCACAAAGCAGCAGTGAATGAATTCCATATGTGAGGAGATAAAACATTTAAAACAAAAAATGTTTAACAACTAAAAGAGGAACCCAGATAAAGCTAACCATGAAATGATGTGAAGAAAAATTGTTTTTAGAATGCTCTTGAAAACCATATGTACCTTCCTTTGTGGAGCCAACACTGACTGTGCTCTGGCCCTGATAGCTATATAAGAGCATGTACATAAATTAATATTAAAGACTGTTCCAAAATAGAATTTATTTCCTTCCAAAAAGAAACCTGTATTGGACATTGCCAAATCATAAATTTAAAAGAAGGATGAGCTGTATCACATCACCGATCGTGAGATGAATTAGACATTTCCTTATCAGACATTACTGTGTCAACTAGGCATGAAAATTGTATTTGCTGAGTAAAAAAATCCCTAAGCATAGACAGGATAGTTAAATGCCTAAGCAGTGATCTACTGATTAGGCATTTTGTGGTGGTACTGAAAGGAGTTTCTAATATTTTTAGTCTTAATAACATTCTTATATTTTATTTGAGGTGCTCTATTATTTTATTGTTTTATCTGCTTAATACTTGCTTTATTGTAATTTATGTATGTTTTTATGTTCTAGTTTTATAAGTTGCCTTCGGGTTATTGAGGCAGCATGGAAATAGAAATAAAGAAAGAAATATGCCGTTCTGTGCCCACAAGTCCCTAAAGGTTGAGGAGCCTAAGTTAAGTAGTGTATAAGCAGTAGTCCTTAATTACTGTCACATAGTAAACTTTGGCTGGGTTTGCATGGCACAACAACCCTTCATGCTACATGAGTTGCTGTGTCATGTGCACCTGGACTGTTTGTGTGCAACAAGCCACCCTGGCAATCCATGGTTTACTGTAGGGGTTGCTGGGCCTATGATGAGTTGTCACATTGTTTGAATCTGGGCAGCCAACTCCATTGTGGGTTCCTGGAAGTGACTAGTAAGCTACTCAGCAAGAATGGTAAAAATTCTTTGCTTGTTTGCTGAGCTCACCCAGATACCCGCCCCCAGCTTTTTCCCTTTTTTCAGAGATAATATTTCACTTTAAAAGGAACTTTTAAAAGCCTGAACTTTGACTGCTGTTGGCTGAAAGTAAAATGTAAAAACAAAAACAAAAAAACCAACCTCTTCGCAGCCTCTCTGGATCAGTATGTATGATGGGTGCCTGCTGCACTTGGACATCAGACACCTGCCAAGACATTGGTCAGGTGAGGCAGCTTATTTCAGTTCAACTACAATTTAAAAAATTACAAAAGACTTAGATAAAGATTGAAAAGGTTGGTGGCAATCCAGTGATGACCCTTCCAATGTGCCACTTCACAGGGGTTGCCACTGGTTATCAACTTAGAAACTGTGAAAAGGAATCTCTGAAAAGATAAGGGGAAAGGGAGAAGCTGTGATGAGAGAAAAAAGAGCTTGCAGTCACAATGGGGAGAGCAGCCATTGGATGCTGGTCTGAGGGATGGATGGAGTGGAAGGGAGAACAAATCCACCATGGCTCCAGTTGTCTTTCAGGTACAGTGTGGATTGTTTCACAGATAACCGCCCCCATAGCTTATTTGCAAGGTAGGTTGTCCTGATGTGAGAACCTGCCTGTTAAATCATGATTTCCTTTATATTTGGGCTATATTCTATTAGTTAATTAAGTCTTTTGTTTTAATAGGGAGCTGGAAAGCCTAATACATTCTTCCAACTATGTCAAAGGAGAAAATCACCCCCATTTTGAAGGTGGTGTCAAGCTGGGAGTTGGAGCATTTAATATGGTATGAAATACATTTTCTCGCTGGAAACCAGGTGAACAGGACTGTCAATCGTAGACCATGTGGATGCTGCTGAATTGCTTCTGAATGGTTGAACCAGTCCTGCTACCTGCCTGGCTTGTTAGCTGACCAGCACATGAAGAGCATCCATGTCAAGAATGAGTGGAACTAGTGTGGAAACTCCAAGTTATAGGAACTAGTATGTTATGTATACCTGTATCCCCTTGGCCTATGGCTTTTGAACATTGTGGCTGCTACACCATGGGAAAGCATGGCCAAAGCTTCTGCTTAGCAGCCAGAATGAGAGCGCTGTCTCTGAGGTACGCTTTGCAACATGAAGGGTGGGAAGCAGTTGTTGCAATCCTGGACTGTCCCAGTGACTGTAGACCTCTCTCGTTACTTAAAATTGGGGTGAGGAACCTGTGGCTATCCAGTTTTGTTTGACTGCGTCTCTCATCAATGCCAGCCAATGTGGCCTTTGGCCAGAGATGGTGGGAGCTGTATTTAAATAGCATCTGGAGGGCTGTCGGTTCTCCTCCCCATATTTAAAACATTAATAGTGAAAATATGGCAAACCCAAAGAAAATAGAATAGGGCCATGGCTTTTAGATCTTACATACTGTGACAGCCTCTTACAGAGTCCAAATGGCATTTCATTTGGGGTTCCCTGCACATACGTATGCCTGACATAAATGTCTGAGTGGATATTTGGTATAAAGCCCAGAGTGGGAGATTCCATGAAACTCTAAAGCATAGCAGAAGCTCTTCAGACACGTTCCTGCTTTTCACCTGTGACCCTAGTGTTTCAGAAGGCTACTTATACAGAGGGTGTTAGTTACAACATTAAAATCAGAAGCACTTCAGCAACCGAGGAAAGAAATATATGATGAAATGGGGCAGCAGGGGCTTGAAACTAAAATTGATCAAATTTTCAAGATTGCCAAGAGCTGCATTCACCTCAAATTATTCCATCATATAAGACGTTTATCTAATTGGAATGTAATAGGGCAGCACAGTGCACTCAAGAGCCAGTGCATAGATGGAGGGTCGCTTTTGATGTTAGGGCTTTCAATTGCAGGAAGGTAACTTCCTGCAAGCATGCCTCCAACTGTGAGCCACTCCTGGGATTATTAGCTGTCACAAATACTGTTGTAAACAGTCACAGCTATAAATCCATCAAATGCTGCACTTTTTTGCTAAATAAGTAACATGAACAAAAATACCAAAGTACTTCTTACATGCAGGAAATTACCTTCCTCATATTTCCCTTTCATTTCTAAATTTGCATACCAAACGTATTACTTGCAAAATGATAAGACTATAAGGTATTGCTTTATACTGAGTAATAATCTGACCCCAATAGCCCTGTGTTTCTCCAAGATCTCGGGCAAAAGTCTTTTCAGCTTACGTGAATTCTTTGGAGATGCCTGGAACAAAATCTGTAGTGTTGTGCAAGTGACTATGGAATATGGGAGAAAGAAAGAGAAAGAGAGTTCATCTTAGTACATAGTGCTGCTCTCTCTCCATGTTTCCTGTAGCAATTTTTCCCATTGCACTACTGCATGTGACTTAGCTTACTGTCAGGGTTGCTGATAAGCAAACACCCACCAAGAAACTGTTCTGCCTATTTTTTGATTCCTCTGAGTGAGCAAAGTTCCATGGCAGAGTGAAATTGCCGACCTCATAAGCTTTGTTATCTGACTTATGGCTTCTCCACTGGAGTGTAAGATGTCCGCCATGATTTACTCAGCTCTTTGTTGGCCTTGCTCTTCAGAGGCATTGAGAAATTTGCCTTCCCAAAATCTTTGCAAGCCTGAGATATTCCTTCCAGTGCTGCCACTGAATGGTGACTGGGGGTGGCATGGATCCTCTCAGCATTATGTGAATGGATAGCACAGAGGGGAGCTACGTATGATGATGAAGCCCTGCACAACACTTATAACGGTAGACCCTAGATATCTTCATGGGGAGGACGCGTGGTGCTTATCAGAAGGCACTGGGTAACTGCTCTGTATTTTTCCACTCCTCAACTGGTTTTCCTTAGTAAAGGAAAAAGTTGGAAACAAATAGAAGAGGATCACAAAAAGAAGACAATGACATCTGGACCTCCTGTAAATGTCGCCCCAGGGTCCTCATGAAAACCCTTGAGCAGAAGTGTCCTCTAAGGACTAGACTAGTAATGACTTTGTATCTTTTATTTGTGAATATTTTTTTTTCTGAGAGCTGAGAGGTGACATGGTAATATGCCATTTACTTTACACTGCTTCTGTCTTTGGCTTTTATTTCTGTAGACTTTATCCATGCTACCAACAAGGATTGTAAGATTACTAGAGATTGTTGGGTTTTCAGGAAATAAGGCAAGTATTCATCTATGGACTACTTCAACTATTATGTGTAATATGTACATACAAAATAGTTGTACAACAATGCTGTTTTCAGCTGCTTGTATTTACGGGTACTGGAATAAGCCATGGTTGCTTTCATACACCCGAACATTGATATGCAATGGAAAATATTAGCATTTTGATCCAGAAATTCCCATGAGTAGAGTTCTGCCCATGAGACCCCCTTTGGTGGAAGCAGTGAGGCATTTCTCCCCTTATTCTCCCTTTGTAAAGCCGCTTTGGAGATTTGAACATCTAAAACATCTTGGAAGGTACTTTTGAAGGAGAACCTGGTAAAAATGCTTTTTCCCAGCCCTTCCAGGAGGAGGCCCTGTGGGGTCAAAGCCCCTTCTGCAAATGGAAAGACCCTTCTGTTCATAGAAGTGTATATCTGAATCCAACCCTTCTCTACTGCAAATGTTTGCTAGATCACACAGACTTTGTTTCCATATTTGCTTGTCATGTGAATGCTTTTCCAGCACTATGTAAAGTTAACATTTTGAGATGCAATACATGGACAATTGCAGGAGTTCTCAGTGGACTGTATGTAAAGGGGAATATATTCAATTTCAAGAATTTAAAGAGAACTACCTTTAGGAAAGTAACACATAAAACCAAACTTTGATTGGCACCACTGTACCTTCTCTTGAAATATAAATAGTAGCTTCAGAGATAAAGTTTTTGTCTAGGAGCTAGCAGTGGGAGAGAGAATTAGACTCTCTCACTCCTTGGGATCCTGAGGCTTTTAATGAAAAAATGCATAATAATTGCATTCACAGTACTAATATCAAATATAATTTGGCCTTAAAGTGTACTTTAAATCGCAGACTCTTCCTTAGGGCTGCATTCTTCCACATGGTGATCTCAAGATGTATAGGATGGTAACTCTTACTTGGAGTTTATGGGAAAGATAGAAATTACAGCCACTGGAATATTTTAGATAGCATCAGAACAGAGGCTTTGATTTCAGTTTGATTACATGCAAAATAAATAAACAAGACTGTTGGGTAACTGAAAGACTAATTTTGTCCTTCTCAGGTTGTTCTAATGTGTCTATGTAATGATAGTTCAAGTACCATTCTTCTGAAAAGCCTGAGATGTTTAATATAAAGTGGAATATTTTAATGTTAGTCAAACCACCTGGTTTATATTAGCAGTTGTCCTTTTGAGGAATGAGGCTTATGGCATTATTAGCTAATGAATTATATGACACTGTCAGTCTGCATACTGGACCCTATTTTGTTCCTGACATGATCAGGCAAAGCAAGTTTTCATATAGCAGTTTTATAAATGAGAAGTTGATGTGGAGAGAGACAGGCTTATCTGGGATGACTCGGTAAGCCTTAACAGGAAATTGAATCCCAGCATCTCTGATTCAAGGCAGCAGAAACACAGCCTGGGACACTTATCAGAAAGGATCCTTAAGCAATTTAAAGGGAAAACTGTCATCAGGCTGAATTGGCTCATGATGAGTAATTTCTGTTACATGAGGCAATATCTGGGAAATATCATTACATTTCTTTTAACATTAGTCAGAAATTCTTGAAGCTTTGCTTTCTTCATTTATAGGCTTAGTAAACATTTAGAATAGCTCCCAATCTTAATTCAGCTAAATTGAAGCAACATTTTTATCCACAAGTGATTCTAGATTTGCCTGAATGTAATAACTAGGGCACATTCGGCAATGATAAAGCAAAATAAATATTGCACCCAACATCTTTTCTGGTATCTACAAAGTTATTTTACATATCTATGTGAGTGTATGCCTTCAGCCATTCCTTTCTGCACTGCAAGATACTCTTAGGGGTACAGAGCCTCAGGACAGCTCCAAACTCAGTCATCCTGTGGTCTCAATTCAGGCCCCTGAGGTTCTCCAGTTGGCAGTACTTCTTTCCCTCTCCCCTGCCTGTTTCCTGATTTTATGGCCATTTGATGGTTTTCCAGATGTTGTGCAGTGTTTCCCCATTCTAAAATGTTAAAGTGGCCCTCCTAAGGCCTCTCTAAATGCCTTTCAGATTCAATGAAGTTGAATATTTTCTACGTAGGGACCCCTGCTTAGTATTGGACAGTATAACAAACATGCCCTGTAATGTCCAGCAACACTAATCAATCCATCATCAGTTAAGCTTCTGCCACACAGAGACCATCCCCAGCTGCCCTTTACATCCCCATTCAAGGAAAGAACAAAAATGCCAGAAATTAAGCTCAGTTTATAGCAACTGTGACATCTACACTTTTAAGCATCGTTTTCAAAACCATTAATTATCTGCCGATTAGTTATGTCAATAAGAAACAGACATAAGACTCAGCTTGTTGGCTCATTGCAAAAATGCTAATAAATTGAATGTCTTATTTAGAGCACATGAAGCAACTGTCTGGAATATGTCTTTGTGTTTTAACAGATGTGTGAAATTATTCAGTAGCCATGAACTTTAAATCTTAAACTCTGCTGTTAATACTGAAAAGTGTGAAGTCAATAGAACCTAAGGAGTTTTGCTTTTATGTCCACAAATTACTAATCTGTAATTTTAAAACTCTACTTGATTAACCTATGTAAGGTACAAAATTGCACAGATTACTTAAGTAAAACCTCTCAAAACCTATAAAACAGAAACTTTTATAGGATAAATAATTTTGGATTTCATATTAAATTACCTGAAAAACTAGTTTAGATTTGAGGACCAATACTATTATCAGTAGCTCAACCTGATGTATACATTAACAAGAAGAAAAAAGCATCAATCAACAACCCTATCATAACTGGGCATAGTAGGTGCTGTTTCTGGTTTCAGTAGTTGCAGGAATATAAAGATGATATTGAGCAACTCAGAGAGGAAATGGAAGGGGCATCCCTTAGCCAGGATCAGCAGGAAACAATAAAACAGGATGAGCCTGCAAACAATAAACTTACTTGGTATTGCCAAGAACCTTTTCTGCATGGGAAAGGGCTTGTAAGTAAACATGACGGGAGGATCACAGCTATAAGAGCTTTGCTGGGTGCTCTGTGAAACCAGTTGAATTCTGTTTCCAATACACTCTGGATAAGAAATGCCTCAATATTGCTCAAGGGCTGCACTGGATGAAACCTGCCCTTCAGAAGGATGATAGACTTATCTCTTAATATACACCTGGCTTAATTTACCACTTTCCCAGACAACCTATTCTTACCCTATGTTGACAGCAAGTAAGAAATACTTGCAAGACCTCTGACAAACAGTGATTTTTCTGCTTCCTGACCAAATAATCAGTTTCTGAAAAGAGAATATCACTTGTTAAATCATGTGACAAGAAAGGGAGCTTTGTGACATCACTCCTTTAAAAAGCTTTATAATTCAGAAATTGTGACTTGTAAAGTTGAGTGAATTTTCTTATTATCGAGTGAATTTGCTTTGCTTAATAAAGATGCAAAATAGGCTCTGCAAAGCATGCCCACTGAAAATTCCTATTGTGATCACTTTCATTTTTTATTTGTATTCTACTCACCATTTATATCCTGTGTCTTCCAGTATCTTGAATGAAAGAATCCTTTCGCATGTATTATTTATTCAGGGCACTTGGCTGGCTGTTGTTTTTTCCTTCAAAGTAGGCAGTTGATTAAAGATGCGCTTGGATATTTTGAGCCAAAATAGGCCAAGATAAAACAGCCTTGGTCTGGCTTCCCATGTATACCCATTTGGGGGTAGGGAGGAATTTAATGTTAAAGGAACTTGCATGTAACAAGGCTCCAGCTAACTAATTTGGATAGAAGGAAACACTTGGGAGTAATGAAAAGTGAGTGTTCAGTTGCTTAGCTTTTTGCACCCTTCGCTTTTCCATCACCATTCTCTTTCTACTGCTTTCCTTACCTGACTTTCCAGATTTATTTATCTATTGACATATTTCTACTTCCTATTGATTGATCAAGGTGACTCTCTTAGAAATTTAAAAACAGTCAAAGCAGGCTCAATAAGCCAACAACAGAACAAAATGTATCCTTATAATTGACTAATAAGGCAACAGTGTGAACATCTGAATTCTTAGTGTCTTCTCACTAGCAGAACTATTTTAACTGTATGTAGATTATGTAGAACTTTTCAGATTAAAAGATAAGAACAAGGGGTTTTTAAAACTTACAGTGTTAAAGATTGAACTGAATTGTTCCATCTTAGATCCCTGTAGAAGCTGAAATAAAACACACCTGAGCAGCCTATAGAACCTAGCCACATAGATTTTGTTTGCTTATAAAACTGCATTACTGTATGTTGAGGAGATCTTTCCATTAATTTAAAAGAGCATTCAGATTTCAGGAGTGAGTGCATGGTGAATATGCTCAGGCAGGCTGGAAATCAGCCCCTCATCTCATTTTCAGCATTGAAGCTTTTGTCATGGGTGGAACTAGGAAAGGGGGAGCAGACACCCAGATGCTGCAGAGATGCAGACAAATCTAGAGAGAAGATCTAGTTTGGTGAAAAGGGTGGTGCAGTAAGAGGAGAGAAGCATGAAAGCAATGAGGGAAGAGAAAGCAACAGCCTTCTCCATAAACACTGCAAGGCAAGCTTTGCAGGGCCAACATTTTGTTCCCATCATGACCAAACCCAAGTCTACAGGCAAGGTGGAAGTTCAGCTTACTGAGAGCTAGTATACTGCCTTGGGCACATCATGACTAGTAACTATTGGCATATTTACTGTCCATTCATTTGTCTAATCCTATTTTAAGTCTGCACAAAATGATGGCCATCAGTGCATCATGTGGTTACATACACCATAGTTTTATGTATGCTCAGTGTGATGCCTCCTTTTATCTGCTGTGAATCTTCCACTGTTTGGTTTCATTAGAAGTTCTCTTCCAACCTTACTGTGAAATGTCATGGAAATCAACATGTGTTGAATTCACTGAGGTGACGTGTGTTATATAGAGACTTATCTAGTTTGCATGATGGAAATGGCACCACTCCTTCTGTTTGAAAAAAAATGCAGATAAATGCTATTGTGTTCTCTCTCAGTTCTGCGAAATCATCACTTGTTCATTTAGTGGTTGCATAAGAAAGTTCTTATAACTTCATGGTTACTTGCTCTGGGATTGTTTTCTCTTTTGCTAGCTGTATTAAACTGATTTGACCACATGATACTGACATATGATATGCTAGGAGATACTAGCCTCTTGGAGTGAAACAAATAAAGCAAGTCAGAAACAGAATGAACTTACAAGCTTTTCTTTGGCTACGATGCAGGAACATGGTCTGCAGCAGCTTCAAGAGGGAGCATCAATGTACAGTTTTAGATCCGTGCTGTGTACTATGCTACTTCTCTGCTATCACACCTTCCTCAGTTTTGTGCTAGGTAGGATTCATTTTCTTCTTTAAATGTTCCTCTTCATAAATCAAGATTGCCTCAGGATGGAAAACAGTGACATTCAATGCAAACCTGCTTATAGATTAGTTCTTTTAAATGGTTTTGAACTGTTTGTATGCAAATAATTTTTCAATTTTTTTCTTTTTTTGGGAAATATTCAAGATGGATATAACTTTATGCTCAGCTCATCCCAAATGATTTTGAAACATGGTTACACTATTTGAATGAGACTAATCTCAGGGATTTGAGAGGCATTAAATATGATCAACTCTGTGATGAGTTTGCCATTCCCATCCCTTAAAATAAGGGTGTGCTCCTTGTTATCCTATTCTAGAGGAGGCATTGTGAGGTCACAGGAACCAGTGTGCTATAGTGGTTACGAGCATGGGGCTGGGACTCAGGCGATCTGTGTTCTCATCATTCGACCATGGAGGCAACTGGGTGACTTGGGCCAGTCCCAGACTCTCGGCCCAACCTACCTCACAGGGTTGTTGTTGTTGGATATGATTGAGAACAGCAGGAGGAGAATGATATAAGCCGCTTTGAGTTTGTAAGAAAAAATGTGGTCTATAAATCTAATAAATTTAAAAAAAACCAAAACCGGAGGGTAGTAGTCAGCACTCTTGGTGTGGGGTTACAGATGCCTCCATTGCTAGGAGCCTAGCCCTAAAGATGCAGTGGACGATTGCTGGTTAAAAGCGATTCTAGTTCCCGGTCCCTGCACTAGCCTCTGATGCTGCTAAGATGGCCTTATGATTGCAGAAGTCTAAACCCCTTGTGCCCAGAAATATAAGAAGACTCCACTGTCCCCAGTGCCAAAAATTGTAGACAATAGAACTTAGGTAGCTCTGTTATACCATTGCTAGGACATCCTTTAATAACAGTCCTCTGAATCTCAGAACACATTCAAAAATACATTGTTATCCAAATTGTTCTCTGAAATGAAGAACCCCTCTCCTCTGTTTTCTCTGCATCAAACTAAATGGTCTAAACTATAGCTGGAGCTTTCTACATTTTCTAATGTCATCATGGGTGGCACAATCCCATGCAGTTACCTCTGCACTTTTCCTGTCTGCAAAACCTTAGACAGCCACTTTAGGCCACCTCAGTGTTTGACCCAGAGTGTAAAGAAATGGGGATGAGCACTGCCAGGATATATATGCATGCTGGTGGCATCTGTCTCCTCTCTCCCCACCAGAACATCCAAAAGCAACACATCTGAGATTGCCCCTTTGAGCTCTTTTTTGCACCAGCTGCAGGGGTGGAAGGAGGGCACCTTGGATTCGGACTCCTAGTTGTAGCCTCAAGGTGAATTTCCTAGGTCAGAGCTGGGACTCCGAATTCTCCTATGGCTTTCTAAACAGTTTCTTTGTTTATTTGTCTATAATGCTTTTATACCGCTTGCTGTATAGCCTTTAGTCATTTACATTAAAGTACAACATAGCAAAACTGAAACAAGATAAAAATAATAAAAATGAATATTTTAAAAATTATATTCCCAGAACAATAAAACCTGGCGGTAGTAGAGAACTTCATGGCTCAGGGAAAACCTGGGTTTTCAATATGTGTTTAAAACATTTCTGCTTCTCAACTTATTTTTTCCTCACAATTCATTTAGGGACAGGAAAAGCAAATGTTGAAGAAGCAGAGAAACTTCTCAAGCCTTACTTGACTCGATATCCAAAAGTAAGATGTATCCTCAGTTCATCTAATATGTGCAGCTACATAATATGTCACTATATGAAAATTGTTGCCAATGCTTTCTCTTGGATTCATTCCAGGGAGCCATATTCCTATTTTTTGCAGGGAGAATAGAATCAATAAGAGGCAATATTGATGGAGTAAGTAATCTGTTTTTATCTTTCCCCTGTCATCTCTTGAGTTTAAGAGCTCTGATTCATGATTATTCCACAGATGGTGAAATCCAGCTGATTCTTGAAGAATCCATTTACATATACAGAACCTTAAACTAAGTGTATAAAGGACAGCGGACCTAGTCTACACTTTCTAGTTCTATACAACATTCTGATCAGCTCTTGAGCAAATTCAAGGCACACCTGAGGTCAAATGTTCACATGCACAGATGACCTGCTCTTTTCCATGACTCTGCTAGGACCAGAAATGTAACACCAGTAGCCATCCTACTTTACCCCTAAACCTGTTTTAGTACAATTGTGCTTGGAGATTCATCAGTTCCCGAGCCCCGCCCTGTGTCTTTGGAATTGGGATTGGGATTGACCTTAGTCAGGAATAGGGCTTGTTCAATGGTGGCTCCCCAGTTGTGGTCACACGCCCTTCAGGTGTCTTCTTGGTGCCAGGAAGGACCTTTTCCTTAGCCTGAATACATGCTTGGAAGGTTGATATATTTTGGATGAATTTTAAAGTTTGTTTAAGCTTGAAGTAATGCTGTAGTTACATTTGGATTTTTTCCTAGGCCATCGCTAGGTTCGAGGAATGTTGTGATGCCCAGCAGATTTGGAAGCAGTTCCATCATATGTGTTACTGGGAGCTGATGTGGTGCTTCACATACAAACGTCAGTGGAAGATGGCGTACTTCTATGCAGACCTGCTCAGCAAAGAGAACACCTGGTCAAAGGTGAGCAAAAGGAAGATGTGATGAACACATCTGATCCGCAAGGATATTGTTACATATTTAATTCAGATAAGTTAAATAATTTCAAACAGATATTCCAAATGGTGGTTAAAAAACTGTTGAATGATCACTGTAGCTAAGAAAGATTATTCTTAGGTGGCTGACCATCCAGGCAAATTGAGGTTCACTTAGAAATAAGTTGACTGCTGCTCAGAGTGCCCAAACCTTTTCCGCACAGTAGCTGTCACTTTCCCTTTCTAACCAAGTCCCTGTGGCATTTGCAGTTCTGAAGGGTCAGTAGTTTTGCTCTTCTCTCTTACTCAGAACGGTTCAGCAAGAGTAGAGAGAGAAACAAATTTTGCTGACTAATTTCAATATGTCCCTGATTCAAATCCCTTTTCTTTCTCCAACAGAAATTATTGATTCACTCTGAAATGATCTACATTTCTAAAGATGTCAATTTAACCTTTTCAGTTCCACCTTTTCTCCCTAAACCTTTCCTTCCCAATTTCCAGCAGTGTTTTAAAACTATAAATGCACATTCAGTTACCTGTGTAAGAATCCTCCCTCACAGATACAAAGACATATTATCATTTAGGGGTGAAGTCATATGTCTGTGAGGTGGAAAGATCTTGCATGTTTACTCTTCAGTGACTGGGTTCAGTTCTCAGCCTGATTGGCCAAAGCCCTTCTGATGGGATATACTTTCAGTCATAAGAAACACAACTAAGCCACACTTGATCATTGTTACCTACCGTGATTGAATAAGCCCCCTAGAACCATGGGCTACAGTAGGATTCTAGTGTGCCCTGTTAACCACAGCAGCAAGCCACCCTTTCCAAGCTCACATGTCATAATAAGCTGCTGCAACTGCCTGCCACAGCTTAGATATTTGCAGTGATTGCTTAAACACACCACAGTCCAACACAATTTATTTAAGCCATGGTGGGCAGCAGCAATCATGCACATTGGCCCATTGTCTCTCAGTAGTTCCAGGTTGGAACTAGTTTCTTCAGCTGAAGAGATCCCAGTTGGAACATGCTGACCATGTGGTGAACCGACCTTTTCTTTCCTGAGGCAGCATGGAACTGACTCAATTTTGGAATGACTGGAGCTCTCTTGACCATAAGGTCTTGCATCAGGCAATGGAGAAATCTTGCGTTTTTATATTTGGCCATGCTTTTTCTGATGTATTTAGAGATGTTCTTCTTTTAGGGGGCAATTTTGAAATAACTTCCTGTGCTGGAGCAGTGATGGGGGCTCTGTAGCCTTCAAGTCACACTATCTGGTCTGGATACTTAAAAATATTGATATTCTCATTATAGGGAACTTTAAAGCATTCTTTGGAGATTTATTGAAACAGCTGAAGTGCTGGATTCCATTAAAGTTCTTGTGAGTTTTGATTCTTTGGGAATCAATCAGGTTGGGATCGGGGTAGGAGCTAAAGAAACACCTCTGTGATCTCAGGCAGTAATCAGAAATGTTACTAAAGTAGAGGAAGAGTATTGCTGTTGTCCCCGATAATGATGGCTCTCATCTCAAGTATTTCTAGGCTGGGAGCTATTTGCTTTTAAGTGAGAAAGGAAATGCATTATTCTGTCATCCTGCATTGCACTGTATTGGTATGTAATGATTGGCAAGAATTTGCATCACCTTTGTTCAATAAACCATTATAGTGGAAACTTACAGTACATTTTTACTTTGGTTATTGCAGTTTGCAGTCAGGCTTGTTTCTTAGTGAGGTGGTAAATGGGTAGTTTGAGCTGTTCCACTGTGCACTGGGAGTACATGACCACCTGGTTGAATTGTCCTTTGTATAAAAATAGAAATCCCAGCATATCAAAAATAGGATGCCAGAAAGAAGATTCTACCCTCACCTTCTTCCCAACATCTTGCCTTCTTGTATAGAGGATATTTATTTGTTAAACTTTATGTACTGATGTCTTCGGTCCAAAATGTGACAGCCCAAACATAGATCTACAGGGAAAGACCTAAGGAAAACCTGCTTATGGGCTGATACTTGCAAATGTTGTGCCTTTGAATTGAGCCTGATTATTCTTTCATGTGATGGTGACATGCATGGCAATCCACTGTGGGTAGCCAGAGTTGTGGTGGGTTATTGTGCCTTGTGAACCCAGATCATTTCCTGCAGGGAAGTTTGTTTTGGAGCAACAAGGTACCCTGACAACCCATGGCTTGTTCTGACCACATTGTGGCTCCAGGAAAATGGTGAGCTTGCGTAGAGTCACTGCCACTAACAGCCACTCAATGAAGTGCCCAAATGGCATTTTGGAGTGACTTTCACTATTTTGCTCTCTTCCCTACCATTGCAGTCACCATGGTGCTGTCTGTCTTTCTGTCTGTCTTTAGGGATCTGTGACAGCCCCCCAAAGTGCCAAAGCAGCATATCAGAAGTGCCATCACTGGTTTGCCACTTTTTAAAAAATTATTGTATTACCACAAGTACAAGGAAATATTTACTGGTCATTTTTTGTTTACATTTACCAGTAGTTCTGAATTGCTCAAGTACACAACTCTCAGTCCCTAAAATTTTAAGCAGTGCCTCATCAAAGTCCCAGGAACTGCTTGCAATTAAAGTAGTCAGCATGACATTGACAAAGCCAGGTTACAGATTCACTTTGACAGCTGTCAAACGGCAAGCTGTCGAGTGAAGGCAAAGCCACAAGTAGATGTTTGCTTTCATAGGGAGTGGCAAATAGGTAGCCTCCCTTCACATCAGGATCCTCTAGGCTTTAAGTTTGGATCTGACAGTTCTCAATGTCCCCTATTGTTTCTTTCCCTGAAAATTTAGCTACTCAGGAAGATGGAAAAATGCACCTCACCTAATTTACAGGAACACTTTTTAACCAGTGTCACAAGCAAAGCTTTCATTTAAAACAGAATTTTTGACAAGGCTACACTTTTTGGGGCAGGGGGAGGGAAGGACAGGGACGGCCATTTATGCCAATGCTAATAATGTTTCATGGCAGAATTTTAATTGAGGCTGCTGATGGTGGAAAAAGATTGTTTCCTAAATGCAAAATATTCCTTTTGGACAACTCAGAAGGGATATTCTCTCTTTTATTTTCATGATATGTTAGTACCTTCTCCTCTGAAAACACTGAAAGGAGGGAGGGAGTAAAAGGAGAGGAGACAAGATGGATTCAGTTGCCAAGACCACTGAGGTACCTGTGGAAGGAGTGATGGACAACCCACAGTCAGTCAATCTGATTATTTATTGGCACACTGCAGGTTGTTGCACAAACAACACAGTGTGTAGCTTATTTGCAGTGAGGGTTTGCCCTGCCATGCAAAGTGACCCAGTGATACAGGAATGCTTGATTATAATACTAATACATTTCTGATGTCTTCACTCAGCATTTGAAATTACTTCTTTTAGGAGGTTAGAATATCCTAGTACAACAATATATGTTCTAAGTAATGTTAATTTAGGGACCAGAGAGTGGTGCATCTTCAATTTTACAGGGCTGACTTGTGCATTGAAGGGAACATATGAATACAAATTGAATAGGAATTATTAATCAGAAACTATTTTCATCTTAGGCTACATACATGTATATGAAAGCAGCCTATCTCTGCATGTTTGGACCAGAGGAACATAAACCCTTTGGGGATGATGAAATTGCACTTTTTAGGTAAGATTTTTACAGTCTTCCCAAGGTATATATCAAGGTGAAGGGTATTGGAGAAGAATTACCTTTTATAGTTTCTCAAATTCTAAGCCCATTTGTACATTTCTGTGCACTTAATATTAATGTTGCTGCCACTCATTTCTTGACCCACTGTAATTTATTCACTGCACCTTTTCAGATTTTTCCAGTCACTTGAGTAGAAGTTGTTCATCTTTAAATGAACTTCTCCTACTGGATGAAGCTTATTGGAAATAATACAAGCAGGGATAGTTCTTCCATTCTGTTTTGGTCTCTTTTCCTCCAGCTGTTTAGAGAATTAACAGGTGTTACAGAGGAAGCCATGTAAATTATTTTTTCTGTTTTTCCTGCCAGGACTGTGCCTAGTTTGAAACTGAAAATAGCAGGAAAATCTTTGCCTACAGAAAAGTTTGCAATTCGGAAGTCCCGTCGATATCTATCCCCAAATCCTGTTTCCCTGCCTGTGCCAGTTTTGGTAAGCTGAAGAGACTTTTTCAAAACATTCACTGCTTAGAAATGCCAGTATATAGATGCACAGAGAGGCTTGAGATGCTAGAACTTCCCAGATAATTTCTCTGGAGACCAGCCAAACTCCCTCTCGCCTTAGAGAGTCCTGCTAGACTATTGATTAGTGGAATATAAATTTAATAAGAAAGAAAGAAAGAAATATATTTTAAATTCAACTGCCTGTGGGCAGTATCTAGCACAACAGTATCACTAGCATAAATACTACTACAGCAAAGGAAACCATCTCTGGGGTGATGCCTATAGTACTTTCTGGCATACTAGACTTCACCAGAAATCCTATTGCACAAGAAGTGCTACTGGAGTTGTGTTAGAGGCAGTTTACACAGCACTTCACCATTTGCATTAGTGGTACTGCGGCATTGGACATGATGAAAATAAATGTCCAAGGAAATGCTCCTGTTGTTGCAAGTGATACAGATACTGTGCATCCTTTTGTGTATACAGCCTGTGCAGCTGCATCTCCCCCAGAAAATACAGAGATAGCATGTGGATCCTAAGATTTGCTTGTAGGTATGTGCACATGTATGAGCCATTTGGTTCCAGGCTAGTAAGCGGTTATTTTTTTCTGTGCACGGATGTATCCTGTTATCCAAAGGGGTAATAGCTTAAAGGTTAAACATGCAGAGAGGCAATGTGATGTAGTGGTTAAGCGCATGGGACGGGAGCTCAGGATATCTGGGTTCTAGTCCCCGCTCAGCCATGGAGCCAATTGGGTGACTTTGGGCCAGTCACAGACTCTCAGCCCAACCTACCTCACAGGGTTGTTGTTGTGGGGATAAGATTGAGAGCAGGAGAATTATATAAGCAGCCTTGAGCTCCTTGAAAGGAAAAAAGACAGAATATAAGAAATAAATACACAAATGAAATGCAACAGAAGAAAACAGAAAAAGATGGAGAAGGAAAGACTCAGTCTTCATGTGCTGTCAGGATCCATTATTAAGAGCAGCTGTTTTGTGAATGGTCCCCACTAATATTGGGCTATTTTCAACATTAACCAAGTGAACCACCCCTCATGAAAAGGATGTTGCCGTCCTCTTCCACACCACAGACTGTCCCTCTAGCATATCTGCATCCAGAAGGCCTCCCAGACTCTGGGGCAGATTTGAAAAGTGCCTGGGAGGCTGCTGCAAAATGGGAAATCAACCCACCAGGGTGTCTTTCCGGAGGACAGCATTGGATCCAAGTCAACATAGTTGTTGCCATCAATACTTTCCGCATTTAGTTTCCAGTAGACCTCACGCTTCATGAAATTTACTATTGTCCATGCCAGCTTATGTCAGAATGTGCTTTCATATTTAAAGTGTGTTGTTCTAAAGAGCCCATTTTCATTGGTATTCAATTACAGTAGCCACTAGGAGAAAAGAAGCACCAGTGGGAAATTGAATAGGAAATCTCTCTCTTGGAAGCCCCCTAAGTGTCAAAGAGGACCTGACCTCTCTTGAAATTGCACTGCGAAGGCAGCAGATGGCGCTAGTTCACAATGAAGCTCTAAGTGGAGGAAATGGAAATTGGCATTAAGCTATTTATAGCAGTCTGTTAATAGTTAACTGCACTAGGCCTATTTTGGTTTGGATGGAAGATCCTAATTGCTGAAAGCTTTTAATTTAAATATTAGGTGCTACATGCATGTTGTATATGTGTTGCTTTGAATACCATCAAAATACATAATGCATTTTCTTCTATAGTGTTCATTTTAAGTATGGAGGAAAATGTACTTTGCACTGTGATTTTATTACTTCAAATTCCTGTCTGAGTAATCTTGACAAAGGCAATTTCTCCATTCTGCAACATGATTGGTCAGCACAAAAAGGTGCACAGGATGAGACTGCTTCATTGGAGTGCATTTATAATCTGTCAAGACAGGACAAAACAATCTGCAGAGGAGGTTAGCAAAAAGAATCAGATGCCAAAAGGGTGACATAGAATAGGATAAAATATCTTGATTTTTATTTGTCCCAATAGTCTAAGAATCCTTGAAAGTTTTCAGTCTTGGCATGGTTTAGCTGACGGGATAGATGTTTAAAACAGAGATGAATAAAATTAGATGAAATTCTTACCCGAATCTCTTGGCCAGTGGGGGTGTGGTCATCTGCTTTGTCTGAGAACAAAGGAATGCAGCTGGCCTGGACAGGGAGTCCAGACATTGTTCTTCAGGAACAACTGGAGTCGGAAATCTTGCAAAAATGCTGGTTGGCAGAAGGGAGAAACACTGACACCATACTCAGCTTTTATGGTGCTGTTACCTCTAGATCTTTCTAAAAGAATTAGTAAAATATATTTCAAATGATAGCTCCTACTCAAGCACTAGATTAGGAAATATGGTGTTGGAAGGCATTGGTTGGAGCATGTGTGTGCCCGTGTGCTTATATGCATGCATTTTGAACAAACTATATACATTACTCCAGAGTCCTTACCAATATAAGCCAGTATATATTGGCTTATACTGCAGACCAAGGATGAGTGGGCTGAGGCAGAGACGTGTTGGCGTGGTGGCTTGTATAAGGGCCACGTAATGAGTGTTGTGGCAGAAGTGAGAATCAGTAAGTGTAGGCTTACTGATTCATACTTTAGTCTCTTGAACACTTTTTGCAAAACAGGATCATTGTTTCACATGCACATTTTAAAATTATTGTTGTTGTTACATTGTGCTTAGATTCCACTTTTTCCCCCCTTGTGAGCAGATAAAACAGCTTTCATAAATCCGTTTTCTCCTCACAACAACCACCCTGTGATGGTGGTTGAGTGACCAGACTGAGAGTGACCAACTCCAAGTCATCTGGTGAGCTTCATAGCTGAGTGGGGAGTAGAACCAGGTCCCCAGACCCCACTCCAGCACTCACCACCGCATCATACTTGCCTTTAAATGCATTTTCAAATGTATGCATTTTTGCCTTCATATTTTCATTTGCAAACTGCATCACAAACTCCAGGGAACTTACAAAATCTAATCCAATTTATGTTTCACTTTGGGAAGTGTAAATTTGCTAAGTTCATATTGAAATTTCATGTACCCCTACTAAAAATCCTGTGTTTGCACAACAGTATTAGAAATGAGTGGGGAAAAACAGGAGATTGCATTTAAAATGAATACTTCTATTCTAAGGAGCAGAGTGGCAGACAACGTCACTTCCGCTCCCTTGCCTTTTTATCCCAGGAAACTGTTCCTGATAGGGAAGCTGCTCATTTTAGTTGCCCTTCTCTGCACTTTTTCCAGCTGAATGATTTGCTTTTTCAGGTGCAGTGACAAGAACTGTAAACAATATTCCAAGTGTGGTTGTGCCAAGATTTGTATAAGGGGAGTACAATCTTCAGTTTTATTTTCAGTTCCTTTCTTAATTATGCCTAGCACAGTGTTTTCCTTTTTCACGGTGACTGCACACTGGGTTTATAGTTTCATCAAGCTTTCCACCACTGCCCCAAGAGCCCTGACATAATCAGCCACTGCTATTTCAGCCTACTTGGAATCGGGATTGTCTGCCCCAGCATGCATTACTGTACACTTGCTTACCCTGAACTGCATTTGCCATTTTGATGCCCATTCTCCCAGCTTGGAGAGATTCCTTTGTGTAGAACCCCTACTTGTTACATCTCTCTAGGGAAAGAAACTACCATTTACTCTTGCTTTCTGTTCTTTAGTTCTTTTAGTTCTTCAGTTACTGATCCATACGAGGATCTTGCTGCAGCTCCCTCCCCGCATTATTCCATCACTGCTAAGATTACTGAGGAGCATTTGGTGATGAACTTTGTCAAAAACTCTTTGGAAGTTTAAGTAAACAATGTCTACCGGATTTCCCTGGTCCATGTGCTTACTGACACACTCAAAGTTCTCTGATAGGTTAGTGACATGGGCCAAACCTTTGTGGAAATCATGTTGATTCTTTTCAGCATGGCTTTCCCCTCTATAGGCTTAGTGATTCTATTTTTAATGGCACTTTCGACCAGTTTACCCAGAAGAGACTTTAACTGGCCTGTAATTACCCTAAACCCTTTCACAAATTAACATTGACCATTCTCTAATCCTCTGCCACAGAAAGATGATCTTAGGGACATGTTATGTATTGTGGTAAGAATGTCAGCAATTTCATATGTGAGCTCTTTAGGAACTCTAGCATGCATATTATCTGGGCCCAGTGATTTATTAGCTTTCAGTTTGCCAATAAGGCTGACATTGTTATCTTTTGTCACTGCTATCTGCCTTGGTACTTCAGACCCCCTTCCATAGTCAGTTCAGGAACAGGTATCTGTTCTGTATCCGCAGCCGTGAAGACAGATGAAAGGAATTCGTTCAGCTTCTCTGTAATCTCCTCATCCTACTTCAGTGCTCCTTTAATTCCATGGTCAGCCAATGGTTGAAGTGCCCCTCTAGCTGGTTTCTTTCTTCTGATATATTTAAAGAATTCTTTATTGTTTGCCTTGATGTTGTTAACAATATGCTCTTCAAAACATTTGTTTGTTTCTCTG